CAGCAGGATGATCTTTCAGTTGTAGGGTACGTTGTTTCTGACTATGCTGGTAATTTGGATGACAGAAGGTCTACAACTGGGCATGTGTTTACTCTTGGTGGTGGGCCTATATGTTGGAAATCAACAATTCAGTATATTGTGGCATTATCTATAACTGAAGTTGAGTACATGGCAATAGCTGAAGCTGCAAAAGAAGCCTTATGGCTTGCTGGGCTAGTAAAGAAATTAGGCCTTGAGAAAGGTGGAGTTCAGTTGCATTATGACAGTCAGAGTGTTATTTATCTGGCTAAGAACCAGGTGTACCATGTGAGAACCAAGCACATGGATGTCAGGTTTCACAAGATCAGAGCTTCTGGGGAGATACTATTGTAGAATGTTCATACTGATGAGAATGTATCTGATATGTTAATCAAGTCAGTTACTATCAACAAGTTCTTGCATTGCTTGGACTTGTTGAATGTTTGCAGTTGCTAGAGAAGCATGGTGGCCCAACCCACAGCGGTGCAGGTCTAACTCTCAGGTATTTTTTTCCTAAGAGGCTGGATATTCGCCAAGGTGGAGATTTGTTATGGTATGACTCATATACCATATAGAGAAAGATGCTGGATCGAAGCGGAGCGGAAGAATCTGTCCAGATTGGGAAGATTGGGAAGTTACGTGGGTTACGTGGGTTGGGGTGCGGGGGCAAAGCGTCGAGGTACGGTACAGGGGTAATGTTGTAATTACGTATTGTATTAGGGTTTACTCCTGGTTTTATAAATAGGACTGTTAGTAACCCCAGGAGACATCCTCTATTCTGTAACCTCTTTTCTGAATATTGAAAGGAAGCCGCCGCTCTGCTCCCGAGGATGTAGGCATCTTTGCTGAACCTTGTTAAATCTCTGGGTTCTTCTAGATTTGTGTCGATCACTGTTTTTCTTCGCCCTAATTTCTCAACAAGCATGATATAAAGAATTAAAATCAACCGAGTATTTCTTGCAATACTATAAAACTGGAGGGAGAAATAATCAGTGCAATGAAATGGTCAAGGCCAATTCATTCAACGACAACGAATATGATCCGCTCTAGACACGCACCACATTATTAAGGGATGTTTGTTGACCAACATATCATGCCACTAAGAGAGGCGGGCAAAAAATATAAAACTATTCGATTCAAAAATGATTCATGACAACATTTCTAGCACAACACATCTGAATTAAGTTTTAAATTGCTTCATAGGCTGCTGAAACTATCCTAGAATCGTCCAATTGGGTAATTAATCGAGCGAGCACTTCTAGATTATCAAAATTACCATGTGATGAACCTCTGATGAAGAATACAACCAAGTTCGATGAAAAGAAGGGGTTTGAATGCAACAAGGCTCAAATTGAGATTAAGATGACTTGATCCATGATAAAATTTGTCTAAATAATGTCCCACCATAAAACGGATCGTGCCAATCATCCAGGAAGTTATATTTAGAGGCAACCATATTATTCGGATTTATTGGCATGAATCCCAAGACATCTTATTGAATAATAATAATATTATTATTATTGGCGACAAAGGCTGCCATGCTTTTGCTTTGTTACCGAATAATAGATGTGAAATATCCTGGTGACGTCATCTGTCCCCTCCCGTCCCGCTCAGCTCACACAAAATCCGAACTCTCACTAGCGAAATCTCCTGGCTCGCGACTCACGCTCTCCCTGGCTGCTCCTCCCTCTGTCAACCACCTCACAGCCATCGTACCAACAGCTTGAACTCCACTTGCCATCTCAAGCTTCGTCTCCCTGCTCCCTCTCGCTCGACTAGACCGATGCCCCCTAGCGCACACTGTTTGCTCCTCAATCTCTCTTCCCTCTCACGTCTTCCTCTCTCTCCATATCTCCAAGCGAACAAACGCAGCTCCGTCCACATCACAGACCGGCAACTCCCCAGCTCGCGCAACCGAAGCTCTCCTTTTCTCTATCGACGTCACGGCAGCCCAACCCCCTCCAAGTCGTGAACTTGCCCCTCAAATTCGACCTCTTTCCCGTTTCTCCCGTAAGCACCTTCATTCCCCTAACCTCACCTGGTCCTCTGTTTTCATCCCTGCTCCACCTAACTCAACTATTCCCTCACGTAACGATCTGGCTCATCCTGTCTAGCTTTTCCGTACACATCTTCCTGCTTAACTCCCTATATAGTCACTACAGAAACCTCCAGTAGTTTTCAATCTCAGCAGCCAGAGTTTAGGTAAAAACAGGGAGATCAAAAAGTTCTGAAAGTTCTATAGCTGTCATCTTGGTTATCTCTTTGAGGAAAAATATGGTTAAGGTTTTCTGGGATTTTTATTGTCTTTCCATTTATGTTTAGAAAAATTCATGTTAAATCTAGCCATTAAACAACTCTATCACTGGGTTTAGATTGAAATGAGAAAAAATGGCGTTCTAAGTTTTTGTGGGAGTTCTAGTTATTATTTTGTCTGTTAGATCTGGAGGATTTAAGGTACTTCGTTTGCTGTTCTGTTTAGAATTAAAGTTGAGTCACCTCAAGTTTTGCTCTATTCTTTCTAGTAACCAGAAATAATGAAGAATTGGGATTGTGGAGCGTGTATGCTTTAGAGGTATTATTTAGGTTTTTTGATAAAATGCATAAGTAATATATATAGGTGTTTGTGTGTGTAAAGAGAGAAATGTCCATCTTTCTTAAATAGGTTTATCATCTTGCCCTCTCAGCTCGCACAAAAGGTTTAACAGAAAACATAAGTACCAATTCGAGTTCTAATTCAGCCAGAAACCAATTGGAGTTGTTCCAATTCCTCGAGAAAACTTGCTCTTATCACTCAAAATTGTGGGAGTGATTGAACATAGGTTACAAAGTGATATTGTATACACAAAAATTGTCTGCACGGACATCGAGAAAATTTAAAGGTCGAAATAAAAAAGATCAGAATATCCTTTGTTCTTCTTTCTAAAACAAGGCTAAAAATGTAATTTTTATATTTTTTTGTCCCACATATTGTATTTTTTTGTTTAGAAGAGTACAAACATTCTTTAGAATTAAACCAAAGATAGCTAAACTTTAAAAGTAGATGAATGAGGCTCCTTTACACTCTTATTTCAAATAATTTAAACAATTCAGGCTAAATTCAAACAAATAGAACCAAACATGAATAATTTCAAAAGAGCTGAACATGAACAGGAGCTCAGCTCGTTTACACCCTCAATCGTAGTTGGTCATAACAAGTTATTGGAGGTGATCGATTGACAATAACCTTTGGTGACAAATAGTGAATTCTGGTGATCCGCAAAACTGGTGATCTGAAACAAAACATGGTGAATTGTGACAACTCCCAAATTTTAATAGTTAAGCTGCAATAGTTAGCTCACTCTCTTCTCTTTTCCTTCCCCCTTTAGGCAGCGAGAATGGGTCTCTCTCAAAAAAGTACACGACAATTGGCATTGATTCTCTTAATCACCAATAATTTTTTTCAACATTTAAATGTTTTAACGTTATCAAAATTGAATCATCTTAGCATTTTCGAATTTTTCTAGTCGAGCCGCTCGATTTGACTATAAGCCTGTCAAATTTTGAAATTGTTTGGTCTTCAAATTGATGCATCAAACATTTAACAATACTTTAAGTGCTCGGCTGATTAGAACTCAGATTGGATAACTTTCAGTGTTATTGGGTTTGTCTCGACGGGACACTCAGTTTGACAATAACTTTATTTAAATTGATGCTCGAGTTATTTTGAATTTAGAGAATTTCCTACTCAAAATGCATCATGATTCGTGTTTGATGATGAAAAATTATTTGATGGCATCAATACATAACATTATTCTTTTTTATTTTTATTTTTATTTTTTATTTTATGCATAACATCATTCAGTCAAACTTATCAGCATTATTAAATATAGCATTATTAAATATAGCGTTATTATAGTTTCGTCTTTCTAAAAAACATATTGTAAGAAAGATAAGATAGAGAGTGATTTAATTCTCTCAAATTCATTCTCTTTTAAAAAAGAAATAAAACATAATTTAAATAATCTCAAAATTCTATTAAATCTAATGACCTAAAAAATGAGCTCACTTCCATTTGTTTATTTGAGAGCTAATGTGGTGTATACTTGTTATTTTGGTCCTTACCATATAACAGCATGTTTCACATGGACTTGTTTGATTTGATCCAACTTGTAAGTCCCCTTGGATCAATTCAGCCGGGTGATTCAACAACTCTTGAAGCGAGTTTTCTTATGTGAAATGATGGCAACATTAGAGGACCAAACTAGATCTAGTGACAAGGATTAACGATTCTGAATGCTAAGATATTGATTAAAGATCCTGGCTACTGTGTCAACTTAGACAGCAATTTTCAGATTCTAACCCAATTTGACTTAGCCCGACTGGTTGACCCATTTGACTAGGGCTGACTGTCCGAGGTGTGGCCAGGAAACAAACTTCAGTTGTACGCCAAAAGAATCAATGGGCGGCGGAAACCTCCATAGTTCTTTTGCAAGGCGAACTTTCGTGGACAGCCATCTGGCATTTCAGTTCATCAATTTTATTTTATATGAGTAATTAAGATCAAAATCGGGCCCAGCTGATGAGAAGATAATTCAGCTAAGCAACGTGTGGCAGAGACGACGAAAGAAGGCGAGTTTTAAACATTAATTTCTATTAAGATAATTGTCTTTATTCAACGCCATAATAATTGGCCAAGATTTGGCCCAATGATACTCGAAGTCGACGCTATGCTTTGAACATGGTGCGATGTCCATGTGGAATAAACCCAACTTAACCGGCACTAGGACCACTTCATATTTGTATCCGTGAATCTGTCACCATGGTCCCACCCAAACATGACTAAATACTCTTATCACATTAGTGCTCACCATTTTTAACTTTTAATTATAGATGAGCAAGCATTACTCTTGGGGGAGCTACGTATTAGAGGAACGCCGTAAAATGACCGTTGCAGATAATCGTTAAAAAGATAAAAGAAGTTATTTTGTGTCAGAAAGACTTACAAGGCGGCGAACAACACGACGACTCGCCGGGGATCGAGCCGCAGGCCCTGCCGCCGACCAGCGATGCGCCTATTGCGCCCGCCAGCTCCGACGACTGCTTCTGAAGAGGTCTTTTGAGGAATCAGCAGAGTGGCGTCTCCTTCGCTTGCCACGTGTATTAGAACAGACAAACTTTCTCTATCTGCATCAAACCCATCCCAGTAGTTTAAACAATGGATAAATGACAGGAGCAAAACAACCCACCCCAAACGACTATATTGAACTTATGGGCTGTCTGGCAACAAATACTATTTAGGTTACAAGGCACTAAATACAAAATGATATGGCACTAAATTATCTAAATCCCCACGAATCCCATTAAACTGTATGGGAACATCAGCATAAATTCATTATGATCTCCTATGCATGTTCTGTAAATCTCGTAAATTTATCAAACCCACATTTTTATTCTGTCCAAAATGATTGTCTGGCAAGATTTAACTCAAATCCCGCTCTAAATCGGTTACAAGGCAGCCCCTTAGGAATTATAATTTGAAAAGGCCAATTAGAGGACAGAAAAGATAAAAAAGTTTCAAGCAAAATAATCACTCTGCTTCGATCAAATACATGAATTTTGTAGTCTAGTTTTGCTATTGTGCTTCCTTGTGAGTTACTAAATTAAATTTAAAATCACTGGTTCAAAATTCAAAGTCACCACCAAATGAATTGAAACTACACTACTATGGAACGAGTGACCCGCTAATCGAAGCAAATTAATTTTTCATTTCCCAAAAATTGAAATTCAAACTTTTTACCACGCCACTATCGATTTCAAAACACGACAAAAAGCAGGTCTTGAAACTAACCCGCAGCAGCGGCGACGGAATCCGCCTTCCTTCTCTCTCCTCCGCCCTGTGATTCTTTTTTAAAGGCAGTCTTCTTGAACTAAAACACAAGAAATTTATGAAAAGAAAATAAAACAATCAGTGATTAAAAATAAAAAGAAAATATTTGGTAAAAAGATATGATCGGTGATTAACTAATTACGGAAAGATTAAAAAGAAAAAAAAAAAAAAAAGAGGAAACAGAAAGACGTTACAGAAGCTTGGGTTCCGGCGATCGATTCTTGATCACCTGAGCCAACAATTGGAGGAGATGAAGCTGAGGCTGCGGCAAGGAGCGAGAGAGTCTCGATGTCAAGGGAGACGAAGCCATCAGCTTCATCTGGCTTTCCCTTCACTTCTTCGAAGATCAGGCCGAGTACATCGTATTTGGGCCTTCCGGCGAAGCCTTTGTCCCCAGGCATGCTCCAAGAAGGATCGTTATCCTAGAAAGCAACAACAACAACGGATTAGAATGCAGAATAAAACAGTTCAGGAGGGCAAGACAACGAAGAAAAAAGAAAGAAATGGAGAGTGACAGTAAAGGCAACGCGCTACCCTCTTCTCTATTCCCATCATCGATTTGCTGGATCCTTAGAGAGTTTGATTCGAAGAAAATAAGAGGAAGTTTGCGAGTTCTGCCTTACCAGCTTCGAAGGATTACAAGAAATTGTATCCAACAGTAGTCGGAAGAAGCAGACATCCAAGGAGCAATTCAAAGTTTTTGTTTTCGAAACTAGCTAGGAATTTTATCAAACAGTTGCCGGGGGTCGCAATCGAGTAGTATAGGGGCAATTTCGTAAGGAATTATGAAGAAGTACATAAAATTGGATGATGCTTTGGCTTGCTAAAAAGCAAATGTGGCGAATCGCGTTTCAATTTGGTAAAAGAAATTTGTTCCAATTTTACATGGGCGTGCCGTGCCTTCAACCACTCACGCTGCCCTCTAATATTCGGTTTTTTCTCGCGTTAATTATTTAATTTCTTCATAAAGTAATGCATCAAAAAGAGAGAAATGCCAAAGTAATCCCGCTGCAAGTTGAAAGAGTGCACTACCTTAACATTTTTATGAACTCTTGGTTAAAACGAAGCTGCTTTGGAAAATTATTTCAGCACTTCATACGAAAGAGAATCATTCGATCATTTAAATAATTTGACTTTTAATAATGTTTTTCTTTATATTATTATTATTGATAGGTTGTTCATCATCTCATGAATCTCGAGATAATATTTTAAGAAAGAAACATTCAAATTTTGATAAAAAATCATCCAGAACACTGATTTCAACAAACTTATAGTCAAATTAACCGGCTCGATGAGACGGACCTAATGATATAAAAATTAGTCTAATCCAAGTCGAATCAAGCCTAGCTCAAGTCATTAAATCACTCTAGAAAAGTCTCCAGACATTATTTGAAGGTCAAACAGATGTCGAAGCTGGAAAGTTTATAGTCGAATCGAGCATCTCGACAAGAAAAATCCAATGATCCCAAGATTGTGCAATTTCGACATCATTAAGGTACACCAATGTTCATTAATCATTGTTTGATCGGAGGAAGCCCTTCGGACCGTCTGATCAAAATGATTCATATTCATAAGTTAATGACATCTAGAAGACTATAAATAGAAGACATGAACCTTGAGAGAGAACTCGAAGTTCTTAAAGGAGCTGAAGTCCAACACCATCCCAACCGTCGTCAACCACCGTCGGCCTTCATCGACACCCGTCGATCGCTGTCAGCCACTATTGACCGTCATCATTGATCACCACTAATCAGCTTCGATCACCACCAACCAGACATTGTTAGTCATCGTTATGGAACATAAGCTCATTACTATGGTTCATGTGTGAACAATGACCTACGTGGTTCACAGCTTATGTAGCTCCCAACTCCAACCCACGCGGCCTATGGACGTCATTCATACTTGCCCCTAAGGTCGAAGTGGTTTATAGCTAGTGTAGCTTCCGACTCCGACCCCCACGGCCTACGGATGTCATTCATACTTGTCCCTACGACCTACGTGGTTCATAGCTCATGCAACTTCTGACTCCAGCCTTCACGGCCTACGAACATCATTTATACTCGCCCCTATGGTCTACCTGGTTCACAGCCCGTGCAACTCCCGAATTTGGCCCCCGTGGCCTACAGATGGTGGCCAGCAGGGCAATCCAAGGGTTATAAAATGGTGCTTATATGGAGGGCTGAGCGGCACAATTAGCCAATGGGAGTTGACCGCAATGGATGGGTGTATTTCAATCTTGGTCCATGAGGAAGCCTTCTTGATTTTGGTTTTACCGACCACTAGGCCAGCCGGCTAGGTTTGGGGAGGTGGCTATATGGCTCAAGGAACTAAGGGGGAGGTTTACTTGTGATCAGGATGGGGGTTTAATCAAATGAGAGCAAGATTAGGTCACTTGGCCAAAAATGGGAAGAGATCCCCTAAATCAAGGGACCCTTGGTCCATGGCACCTCTAGGGTGGGCTAGGAGGATCTAGGGTAGTCCTTAGAGTCCAAATGGCAGATGTGGTGGTCCAAGTTGGGCTAGACCAAGTGGCTCCAATTGGGTTTAGGGTTTGGGTTCAAATTTTTGGATTTGGCTTGGACTTGGGTTTGCGCTGGACTAAAACTTGAATCTAGGTCAATTGAATGATCAATTTGTTATGGGATATTGTCATAAGGCATTTGGAAATCAATTGGGTTGAAGATTGAGGTGAAATGAAGTTCAATTTGGGGGGGGGGGGGGGGG